GAAAATCTTTTAAAATTTCCAATTTTCCTCTTTCTCGGTCAAGGCGCCTAGGCGCCAATCATTTTGCTGAAAATCAGAATAGTGGGCGCCCAGGCACCCGATTCGGGTAAAATGGCAGACTGCACTTCCTTCAATATTTTTATCACGACTCTTTATTCCAATGTCCGATTGCGATGATACAAGATGCGTTAGAAAGATAACTCAAAGGACTACAACTTTTATTCAGACATCATCCTCCAATTCGGTCGTTTATTATATCAAATATGAGTTTCAATATGAGAATAAAAATCTGGAGCAAAACTTTTTCGGTTGGAATTTGATGTGTGGTCACTCTTTGATTATATTTAATCCCTATGATATCTTTTTTCATCCAATTGACCATTAAAACTCTCAAATATTCATTCATGAGGTTCGGCACAACTTTTGAGTATTTGCACTTTAGTCCCCAAACTTTGGATAACTTGCAATTTAGCCATTTTCTCCAAATTTGTCAACTTTTATTTATTTTCTTCAATTTCATCAACCTATATCACAATATCAAAACACACATAAAAATAATCTAAAACTCTCTCAAGGGTAATAAAATAACGAATTAAGTGACATAAATATCGTGAGTGTGGAGCACTCATCAATATGTTTAATTAATTAATTTATAAATAAAATATAAAAATATCTGAAACTTGAAATTGGTAAAACTAAACATCTTAGTTATGTATTGTTCCCTTTAATTAAAGTGTGAGTCTTTATGTGTAGAGACCAGAAATGTTCATAATTTTATAATGGGCCGAATTAGGTTAATGGGTCGCTAGTATATATACAGGGTTATAGTCCCCGGATCACACGTGAATTGTTCATTATGATCTGACTTACATCATCAGAGATAAATAAAGAACTACATGTTGATTTGGAAGACTAAAATCGCAAGATTCATCCATTGTGATAACCATGTCCGATTCAGGTACGCTTCTACTTCGATTTACATATTCTTAATAATCCAACATGAACGATCAATATGACGGTAATAAATATTTTCCCAACAGGTCCACATTGATGTTTGACATAACATGACTACGTTAATGTGCATGACTTTATCCAATGTTTTTTAACTTGTGTATAGCTGTTAGTAATCCAATATTTATCAATGTTGGAGACTCGATCGATCGAGTATGCTAATTTTTATGATCATTACAAACAAAATAGATAAATCTAGGCACAACTAGGTTGGATTAACATATTATCTGACATATAAGTTATTAAACAAACAATAACAAAAGACATGAATGTCGTGATATCATTTCGTGGTCTTGTTGCATAACGATATAAATGTCGTTACGTATTGAAAGAAACGACTTCAATGTCATTGTAATTATGATTTGAACTAGAACGATATCAATATCGTTAATATTGTACAGAAACGATATGATGTCATTTTGTTATTTTATCGGTTTGATGTATAACGATATTAATGTTGTTACGTATTGGGAGAAACGACTTCAATGTCGTTTTGTTATGATTGGTGCGTGCGTGGTCATGACAATGCACGATGCAAGTTCTTTAGTGAAATGACTTCCATGTAGTTTTATTAGTATATAACGACATTAAAGTCATTATGAAACTCATTAAAGTAGTGTCTATTTGGTATTGAAATGACATCAACATTGTTTTGTGTCTTAGGAACGAGTTCAATATCATTATGTTAATCAGTACAATTTTTGTATTGAAACGACATCAATATTATTTTATATGTCATGAACGATTTCAATGTCGTTATATGAATGGATGTATTTTTGTACTGGAACGACGTCAATATCCTTTTGTGTCACATGAACAAAGTCTATGTCGTTACGTAAAGTAGTACTAGGCATTTATGATATTTAAACTTGAAAGTTATAAGGGCCTGAAAATATATAGATTTCAATTACATTCAATATCCTTAATCATCACAGTTGCAAGTGCACTAATTAATAGCTACATAACGTCCTCAAAATATCGAGTAGACTACACAAAGAAAATAAAGTACCTATACAACATCTTTAAACATCAACTATTTCAGACAAACAGAACAAAGTAACTATAAAACTATATCAAAACATCAATAAAAATAGCAAAAAAAAAATCTAAGGTTCGAAATCCCATGCCAACAACTCCGCACCCAATTTCTTCCACGACATTGATACATAATCCAAGAAAATTTCATTTGTAACCGGCTTCGCTTGTAGAAATTCTACCCGTGGTCAGATCTTCAAAATAGTTGTGAAGTTTTATTAATTCCCAACATTAAAATAATAAAGTACTAATAAATGTGATGGTAGTCAACCATACCCATTTCTTTGTTGAGGAACATCTTTTACCTTCACAAATTGAACTTATCCATGCTATATTTTTATCACTTGTGACATGTAATTTTATCAACAAAATAATAACATGATGTAGGGATAGAATGTAAGCTTCCAATGCTGCCCTATGAATGTGACCACCCTTTAGATTATAGAATATAAAAATAATTTGTTCCTCCAAATAAATTTGAAGTATGAACCAATGGTTACTAGTACAGTAAGGAAGATACAAATATTTGCAGTCTTTCCAAAGTTTATCGAGCTCCAGAGTAGTCTTTCCTGCATAATTGTGCAAACTCTTACAAAAATTGAACTCTTATTTTGTTGCAACTTGCCATGTGCACTCAAAACATATGGGTAGAAGTAAGTGTCTAAGATGCAACAATCTTGCTGGAATAAATTTGGAGATTTTAAAGTCCTATCTCATATTTGGTATAGGGCATCATTCACAATCCGTACAAAGAAACCAATTAATACAAACTGAATTCATTTGTAACATTATTGTAACATCATTAAAGTTTGATTACTTACATTACCAGTAAGCCATCCATCTTTATTCAAAAGGTTCGTCAAATCGTTTGTTTGAAAATCACAAGAACTCCAAGGTATAACTTTGATTGTGCATACAACACAATCAACACAACGTTATAATTATGTAATAATATCATTACTTTCACATGTACTTACAGTTATATATATATTAGTTTACCCATAAGATACAGTTTCCATCCATTTATCAAGAGTCCCAACCTTCACGAGGTCCATTTCTTGGTAAGGATCGTATACGTCAGTTTCTGGCAATTTCAAATATTAGATAGATTTATTAAGTAATTAAACTATCAACAGTATAATGCTTTCAATGAATTCATTTTTCCCTTAATAAAACCAAATAGCAATATAAAATATAGAAAACCACATAACTAAAAAAATAAAAAATAAATGAATCTCACCAAGAAATCATTATAGAACTCACCGAAACGAATCTGCTAAACACCGAGTGATGAACCCAAACACCAAAACCGTCAACCCTATATGAATTTTCAATACAAATATTTCAAAAAGAACTTGAATAAAAGCTAAAAAAAATGATTTTTTATAGAAAAAAAGTAATCTTGAATCAAATTTCATAAAGTCCGGATCAAGAACGTGAAAAATCGATAGAAGGATTCGACAAGATTACGAATTCGTAGTTTTGTGACCCAAAAAGGTTTCACTTCACAACACCAAAAAAGAGTAAAATCCCAAATGAAGAAGAAGAATGAATATGAACTTAACACAGTCTGAATACTAGAGAGCAACATTCTTGCTGGTTTGGAAACTTACATTGATTTTTCTAAGTGGGAGCTTGTCACTAGTTTGGAAATAAAGAAGACACATTTCGAACATCAACCCTCCACAAACAAAATTGTTTTTTTTTTTAACTCTACACAATCGTCGGCCTCAAAAGAAAGGAGAAGATATGGTTTTTGACTTGAAAGAGAATTGTTTAAGAATTTGAAGAGAAGAATATTTGATTTTGCAATTGTCAATTTGAAGAAGAATGATTTTTAATAAATAAGAGCCCACATCCTTCTTTAATCTAGTTTTACAAGGGTAGCGTAAAGTAGTCGTTTGAGACCTTTAATTAAAATTTCTTTTATTTTGAAGAATTTGTTCAAAAGCCTTTTGAGCATGCTGAAGGATGACAATCCCAACTAATTTCCACTCTAAATTTCCGGTTTCGGGTTTTCGCTTTTGACTTCATCATTCAAAAACTACGGTTTACATTTATGACAGATCTACAAACCGACGAATTACAAGGTGGGGAGATAGTATCGGTTTAAAATATTTAATTTAAATCCCTGGATTAAATCAATTATTTAAAATTAACCCCTCAAATTCTTGACTCAATTATTATATTTCCACTCCAATAAAATATTATTTTCAAATATTCCCTTACGTTTTAGTTTTATACAACCCACCTCCTCTCCTCTTCTCTCTAATCTCAACTCCCTCCCCTTCTCTCTTCAACTTTCTCTCTTAATTCTGTTGATTCAAAGCAACAATAGTGGAATCATATGAGAAGAAATTGATGAATTAAAACTGTAATGTAATGGTCTTTCTGGATTTTGGGTTTGGGTGTTATTCATGAAACCTCCTTGAATTGAGTTTGTTTCGGTAAGTTGGAATACTAAACAGTTAGCTGAAATCTTTTTTTTTTTTTTGGCTTTTAGATATTCTGATTTCAAAAAACACTATTTAGTTTTGAAAATGCGAATTTCTTTTTCTTTTTCTTTTACATTGCTGATTTTCGCATTACTCGTGGTTGATTTTTTTCAGAATTTTTTATTTTTTGCACGAAATGTAAGACCACCCCCCACCCCACCCGGTTTCTAAGTTACTTGGATGAGGAATTTTTAATTGATTGATTTTTATCTTTCTATATGTACCAGGGTATAATAGCTACTTTTAAGTTCTATATGTATGGCGTTGATGATTGGTGATTGTTTATTTAAATTCGTTCCACTTGTTAAATTGATGTGGCGATAACAATAACGACTGTAGCTATTATGATTAGATAGTCAATTGCTTGTGCCTTTTGTTTGTAGAGATTTTTTTTTTTACATTTTCCATGTTCCAGGTTATATAAAGTAGTGCAGTTGCTTTCCACGTTGATCATAAATCATGGACATCTCTGAGGTTGAAGATCATTTAATCTCAATTGGCGAGCCCAAGGTACGGGGACAGATATGCCCGTGTTTATTCCACGGGTTTTATTTTCTAAATGTATTTGATGTTTGAATTTGACTAATTGTAACATATTGTAATTCATATGGATACTTGAAGTTTTTTTTTTTTATTCAACATCAAACTCAATGACAATTGAATCACGAGGTCTCAATTTTGCCAATTACTTTTGCATATGCATGATTTTGTTTGTTGTTTTGCATCAATTAATGGAACGTATTACGAGTAAGTTTGGTGAGTTACTTATAGTTTAGTTTAGATTGTGGAGTGACCGACAAAGATGTGGTTCTTGGTGCAGATGCATGGTGAAATGTGTAAGAGCCTATGTTACATATACTCGAAACTGTTGGCAATATTTCCTGACCTAGAAGCAGCTCGGCCTAGAAGCACATCAGGTATTCAGGCATTATGTGCTTTGCACATAGCACTAGATAAGGCCAAGAATCTTCTTCAACACTGTGCAGAATGCAGTAAACTTTACTTGGTGCGACTGCTCTTTCTTTATTCATTTTTCCTGTGCATGTGGGAAAAATGACTTTCTCGTTAAGGATTGCTGCGATCTCCAAATCCCCTTTATCAATTAAAATTTACTTGAGTCATCATAGTCTTAATGTACCATGTCTTTAAAAGGATTTTTCATCTTTTGAATGTGGCTTGAACAATTTAAGCCTACTCCAGGACATATAGTTTCATATGTAGAAGTTTATCTCTAACCTACATGTATGTGTTATTGTATATGGATATTAATAATTCACTTGACTGTACCTGTGTGTGTGGCAAGTAGTTAATAATTGAGGGCATCTGCATTTGAGATTCAATGCATTTTTGAATAACACGCTTAATTTCCTCCTCTCTCTCTCTCTCACTTCAGTCACATATATGTTTAATGTACATCATTGTTGTCAGGCTATAACTGGAGAGTCTATTGTTTTGAAATTTGAGAAAGCGAGATGTGCCCTTGAAGATAGTTTAAGGCTCGTCAAAGATATCGTTCCACAAGTTATTGGTTCTCAGGTATTACCTGTTTGGCCACTACGGTCTCCTGTTGGATCTCTTCGTCCGTGAGATTTTTATTAGTAATTGTAGTCTTGATGAGAATATTATTTAATTTTTTTTTTCCAGTTTTTGGCAACAAAACTTCTTTTATTGCATTTCTTTCTCTAGAGATAAAAGGCCCGTAACTTTTGGAATTAACTGTAGTATACCCTTGTGTTGTTGAGATGGAAAACTCGTATTTGACAATAGTAGAAGACAAATATAATGGACATGCCGTTAGTGGCAGGGACCAATTTCATCTTTAATGGTTAATTGAAGAGATAAATGTTTTAACGCGTACTCCATTCTCGCCGTTGTCCTGTTTTAGCTGCTCATCTTAACAATATGGCGCTGAAAAGAATACTTGTTGACACTTTATAGTGTATTTCGGCCAGAAATTAAAGTTAATGCGATAGAGCGTTTGCTCTGTTTTCAAATCTAGTTCATTTTCAATATATTTATTGAAATAAATTCTATGTTGCATGAGAATTATTCCAAGACTAATTATGCTTCTCTTGCTTCAGATAGAAGAAATTTTGGGTGAACTTCAGGAGATTGTGTTCTCGCTTGATCCGACTGAAAAGCAAATTGGTGATGAGATCATTGCATTACTCCAGCAAGGGAGAAACTTCAACCGCAATGGCAGTGACAACAATGAGCTTGATTCCTTTCACCAGGCTGCTTCTAAACTTTGTATTACCTCTTCAAGAGCAGCACTTAGAGAGAGAAGGGCATTGAAGAAACTCATAGAAAGAGCACAGGCTGAGGAAGACAAAAGAAAGGAGTCAATCATTTCTTATCTTCTGCATCTTATGAGAAAGTACTCAAAGTTGTTCAGAACTGAGTTCTCAGATGACAATGATTCACAGGGTTCAACACCTTGTTCACCCACTATCCAGGGATCTTTCAAGGATGGTGGCAGCCTTCCACGCAATGGTTTTGCTTTTGAAAATCAACTTTCGAAACTTAGTTCTTTCAATTTCAAGTCAAACTTCAGGAGATCAGAGCAGATGTACGTTGGACCACCTGAAGAGTTAAGGTGTCCAATATCATTGCAACTTATGTATGATCCGGTGATTATTGCTTCTGGGCAAACATATGAACGGGTCTGTATAGAGAAGTGGTTCGGCAATGGGCATAATACTTGTCCAAAAAGTCAACAGCAGCTCCCACACCTTTCTTCGACTCCCAATTACTGTGTTAAGGGTTTGGTGGCTAGCTGGTGTGAACAGAATGGGATTCCCATTCCAGATGGCCCACCACAGTCACTTGATCTCAACTATTGGAGGTTAGCATTGTCTGAAAGTGATTATGCCAATTCAAAGTCGTCGGAAAGTCCTGGGTTGTGCAAGTACAAGGGTGTTAAGGTGGTACCTTTGAATGATAGTGCTATTATTGAGGAGGTTGAAATAAATGAAGCAGAAGATGTTACTACACACGAAGATGAGTGCGAGGTTAATCCCTTCAAACAGTTTGATGATTTTTTGACTGTCTTAGACAAGGAGGATGACTTGAGGAAGAAGTGCAAAGTAGTAGAACAGATAAGGCACTTGCTAAAAGATGATGAAGAAGCCAGAATTTATATGGGGGCTAATGGCTTTGTTGAAGCATTGCTGCATTTTTTGGAATCTGCCGTCCGTGCAAGGAATGGTATAGCTCAGGAAACTGGAGCGATGGCTCTCTTCAATCTTGCTGTAAATAATAATAGGTATGCTCTATTCAATTTTACAAATTATACAGCTTTCTAGTGGAATATATGACTCTTGCTAGCAGGTAAATGGGAACGCATTTTAAAATTTTGTTTAGCAATCTGTTTTCTGGAAATGAGCTAACTGGCTATCTGCCATCATGGAAATCTCATTATAGGTCATATATATATGCCACATCTCTTAGGTTGCTCTGATCCTTTGACTTCATATTATTGATATAAGAAGTCCACATAAATTATTATATTTCTGATATTATCATCTGTCTCAAGAATTCTGATAACTTGTTTAAAAGGAAGCTAGTTACACTTATCATTAACATTGAGAAGTATCCGGCCTTTATTGTTTTGGTTACGTCACTCCTAGCATAAACTTTTCTACTGGTCTTTGATATAAATTCCAATTTTTTTATTCTGTTAGCAACTTTGACTTGGAGACCCCACAACTTATTTGGAATCATACTGACGAGATGCTCAAAAGAATTATTGATATTTAACTGAGCTTTTGAAGCTGATACGACAAATTTGAGTCTTTTTGGTGCAAATTTTTTCTTATATCCTAGCATCAAGAGTATTGCCTTGAGTGTTCGTTAGGCTAATATGTGTATGTGCCCCATTGTATTGTCAATGAAAGCTTTTTATCCTGAAGTCTCTTGCTTCAGTATTTCAATGACACAGTTTGTCACTGCACTTTTCTAATGCATGTTTAAACCGTTTATTTGTCCAAGATAATTGCTATTGATTTCATATTAAATATGTGAAATAGTTTTACTTATTGGAAGATTATTCTACTATTCTACATGCGTCCACTTGTACAGTATTTACTGCACAAATGTATACAGCCTACTGGTTTCATATCTCATGAGCATTACGATGATGAAATTTTTTATTTGACTTTTCAGAAACAAAGAAATAATGTTGGCGTCAGGAGTAGTACCAGTGTTGCAGGATATGATCACGAATAACGATTCTATTGGAGCTGCAACAGCTCTTTACCTGAATCTTTCCTGCCTTGAAGAGGCAAAGCCCATCATTGGATCTTCCGAGGCTATCCCTTTCTTGGTTCGGATCCTCAAGTATGAAACCGATGTACAATGTAAACTTGATGCTCTTCATACGATCTATAATCTCTCCAGTTATTCGACCAATATTCCCATCCTCTTGTCAACTGGCATTATCCATGCCCTCCAAACTCTTATTACGCATTCAAGCTGTCACACCTGGATGGAGAAATGCATAGCCATTTTAATAAATTTTGCTTCAAGTAGAAATGGAAGAGATGAAATCGTACTGGCTCCTAGCGTCATTAGAGGACTTGCAACTGTTTTGGATGTTGGCGAGCCTGTTGAACAAGAGCAAGCCGCAGCGTGCCTTCTGATATTATGTAAGGGAAACAAGAAGTGCAGTCTAGTAGTTCTTCAAGAAGGGGTGATCCCTTCCCTCGTCTCAATTTCAGTAAATGGGACCGTGAGAGGGAAACAGAAAGCTCAGAAGCTTCTGATGTTGTTCCGTGAGCAGCGACAGCGGGACCCATCACCAGTCTCTGCTCAACAAAAACCTGAAAATGACGAGATACCCTTGCCGGATCAAGATTCAAAGCCAATAAGCAAGTCGATCTCAACAAGAAAAGTAGGGAAGGCATGGAGTTTTTGGTGGAAGAACAAGAGTTTTTCCGTATATTAAGTGTTAAATTGGGCATTACCTTTTTCCTCCAGTTGGCTCTGTTAATATCTGCTGTGTTATATTTGCGCTATAGACGGGCATTTGCTTCATTTCAACATCCCGCGAATGAGATGTACAGACAGGCCCAGTTAGTTGATCGTGTTTGTCTCGCCAACGTACAGCACTGGGTTTCCACGTGTTGTTACTGGTATAAATATAATAGGTCTCACATTAGGATGTAAGTTTAGCTAAACGTATATGTTATGGACACTTGTGTATTTAATTTTTTGATAAATAGTTCAAAAGCACGTCTTATTTATGTTGTAATTTTTCTAGAGTTATGGTTTCTTTTATGTTCATGTCATGTTGAAGTATTCAAAGTTGATCGATCCTTTTATCGCGTGATTCTTTGAAAATCAGAAAGATCAAGCCTAGTTTGATTGATTTTCCATAGTTCATATATTTTGTCGCTTATGTTGAGTCTAAAACCAATACGTACAAGAAGCCCGTCTAGCTCAGTTGGTAGAGCGCAAGGCTCTTAACCTTGTGGTCGTGGGTTCGAGCCCCACGGTGGGCGTTCATTACTGTTTTACTCTAATTTTTTTTTTCCCTCTCAAATATACAGCAAATACAAGATAGGTATCATAGGTATATAGGATCAATTTTCAGACCAGACCGGCCATAAAGCTATTCAAAATCTGGACGGACCATTTGGAGAAAATTATTTAGAACTACTTTATTTTCTGAGACGGTTTGTTTCCTTTTTCTCCTCCAATCCATTATTCAGTAATTCTGCTAATTATATATGATTCAAAGAAGGTCTCTCACTCTCTCTAACTATTATGTTAATCCATCTTGCACATAGTACTGCATACCAAACATGCATAATATTGCCGTTTGGAGAATGCAAAGCTTTTGCAAATTATAGTTTCCAAGTTTATAGACGAATATTTCAGTATTCGCTGCCTAAAATCTTTCCAAACAACATCAATTGAATCTCCATTTAAAGAGCTTTAATCATCCCGACTAGTACACAAAGTCGTATTATAAGCAGGTGCATGCTGATTACAAAATAATGAACTAACATGCCTCAACTCCTAATCTAACCTAGAAAATGTGTAACACATACATGTAGAACAGCTGAAAATTTATGCTGTTTTTCTCTTCAAAGTTTGAACGCGGTTATCAGGCTTCTTCACCTATGCTTCCCCTTTTGCTGAGAATTCAATTCAAGGGCCGGCTCGTCCCAAATAGCTCGTCTTTAAGTATGGTTCCTTTAGGGTACTCTTTCAGGACATCATGTACTTCATTTTCACAGTTTTCGTTTGCTCCCTTCTCAAGAATTTCCTTGTAACTGCACTTCATATTATCCGTCTCAAGAATTTCCTTAGTACTGCACTTCATATTATCGGACTCAAGAATTTCCTTGTAACTGCACTTCTTATTATCTGATTTGCCCTTTTCGCCAACTGACTTCACGTCATCTTGTAAAAAAACAGAAAATGGAGATGAAGTTGCTAACTCAAATGAAGAAGTACATGGAGTTTCATCGGGACAAAATGCTTCCTCGACTGTTTGTTCTAATATTGGCTTAACTTTTTCAGTTTGCACACCATTTGAAGGTTCATTATAAGTACCTTGTTGTGAATAATCTAGAGGGTAACAATCTGCTGATTCTGATTTGCTGCTATTCATATCAATTCTGATCTCCTTTTCCCTTTGTACTGTTACTATTATCCTCGGATCCCCAAAGAGTTAACGCATAAGTTAACCATGATATGAACCGGTGCATAAGTGCAGGATGCGAGTTCAAAACATGATCGAAGTTTTCTGGTAAAAATTCAGCAGCGTAGACAAGTTGATCAATCTTGTTAAACAAACGTTTGGATGGTGGGAAAATGAATTCAACAATGTTTGCAACAGCGAGAAGACGATCATCAATGAAGGAGAGGCTTACTAGCCATTGATATTGCATTGCATATAATAAAGGCATGAATGGTATTATCCTCTTCTTTGCCGTTGATCCAATAGGACTATCAAAATCTTGTGCATTTGTACATACAATGTGGGCAATTGCTAACACTGATGCCCCACAAGTGTGTAATGGACCACGCCGTGGCCTAGTCGTCTCTCTGGTGCCTGCTGTCGATTCCTGAACAATTAATCCCAGCTTCAACTTACGAAAAGCGCGAACAAGATTTAAAAAGAAAGAAAAAAGTAAACATCTTCTCTATTGTAGTTCCGTCCAATAGTTTTTAACAAACATGTTCTAAATTAATTGCTTTCGAACACGGGCATGTAGGTGCATTAATACAGAAAAATCTACTGGAAAATGCATGGATGAAAGAACAGAGATGAATAATTTCGGAGCTAAAATTGATTAAAATGGCAATATAAGAGATTATTTCATAACAAAATTGATCAAGTTTGAGCAAAAAAAAAATTACCATATTCAAGGGGAAAACCCCAGATTTCGAGATTATTCTAAGAATCCACCACATGAAGATGAATAAAAATCCCAGCTTAGTATGTGATTGATCAAATCAAATGGGAAATTTCATGGATAACTCTTTGTTTAAGACGAAAAATATAGATCGAAATTGAAATCCGCAACAACGTATAAATTGGAAGGTAAGTTGGTAGGGTGTTTGGGGCCTGGGAGTGGGGGTGGGGGTGGAGCTGAGCAAGCTACACCATACCGTTAAAGTCGGTTATGAAGGTGGATTAATGGAGAGTGACAATATCAAATTTCGACATGGAAATTAAAGCTAGAATGGGTTTTAAATTTCTATTTTCATAAATCAAGTTTAATTATACAAAAATCAAGTTTTAATTAATAATTAATAATTCATATTTAAATATTATAAATTAAACCCTAATTCATTTCTATTCTCATTCTCTCTCTGTCTTCTCACTTTTCCTCTTTCTCTCTACCCACCGGTCGAACCCGCCGCCTAGCCCAATTTCTTCTCCCATGTCAGCGACGTCCCCTGGAATAGACTCTCAGGCGAAGTGGCGTCACAAAATCGCGATGATGTGTGTGTCGATGGAGCAGCGCAACTTGCAAGAAACTCCGATCTGGATCTGTATACATCGCACAGCGCTGATTTGTAGATGCTACAACTCCGATCACGATCAGATTCAGATCTACATGTATAGAGAGGTGTGACGTGGTGGTGGAGTCACCGCGTTGGTGTTGGTGGTGGCGCCGCGCAGAGGTAGCTACGGGATTTGTGTTTATTTTATGGTAGTGTATGGTTAATGGTGAATGACAGTGGTGTTACGTGGTGATGGTGGTGACATTTACAAATCGGTGGTGTTGCAGGCGGTGGCGCAGGGGGTGATGGTGTGGTGTATTGGCAGCGGTAGTGGTGGTTGTAGTAGATTGGGGTTAGGGTAGGGCGCGACAGAAGTGGTGGTTGTGGCAGATGTAGTGGTTGTGGCAGATATGGTGGTGGGATAGTATAGGGTAGGGTGCGGTGGTGAAGTGGTTTGTGACCAATTTGGATGATTGTGACCTGACTAATATGTGACTAATTCGCGGTTGGGTGTGTGCGATGTCGTGTTGATGGTCGTGGGTAGGATGAGATGGACGTGGGTGTTTGTTACCAATTATTTGGTTGATTGTGACCAATAATTGGTTAATTTTTGACAAATTAATAACGTGTGACTTAAAAATAATGAATGTGACTCACGATTTATTAAGTTATAATCGAGTTATGACCAATAAAATTAAATTTTTTGAAGTGTGACCAAATTGAATAGATCTGTGACATATTTATATTTATTAATTAAATATATAATTAATTAATTAAATCATAATTAAATTTTAATGAAAACTTGAGTTTTGAAATTTAAAACGTCTATCATTAATTTTGAAATAGTGTTTACTAAAAACTTGATTTATGTATTGGTCCCTTTCTACATCCACACCAGTTTTCCATTTGCCTAGCTAACAAAATAATTCAAGCCCTATTTGATTGCAACAAATTCCATGGAGAATGTCACATCCGAGATAAACGAATTCCACTTTGACCTTTTAATTGCAACGTGAAAATGGAAATTGAATTCTAAGGTACAACCACTTTAAGTTATATTTTCTTGTTTTCATGGAAAACGTATTCCTATGGGTTTTGTGAATTTTTATTTTTCAACTAAAATGAAATTAGAATTCCTTTTCACTTTTAAAGGTCCATTTGATAGGTTTAAATTCCATGAAAAATGTCACATCTGAGGAATTCAATTTCTACTTTGACTGTTTGATACGAACGTGAAAATTGAGTTCGAATTTCAATATACAACCACTTTAAGCATTTTTTTGCCAATTTCATAGAAAATACATTTATATGGGGTACTTGAGTTTTTATTTTTCAACTTACGTGAATTTGAAAAGCCTTTCAATTTTGTCAATCATACCGACCATAAATATATTGAGGGACCCTCTTAAAATTGCAAGGCCTCAACATTATTCCAAAGGAACATTATTCATAGTCAGTAACTTAACAGTCATCCGACATGGAAACTTGTTATTCAAAGCATTAATTTCCCGCCATTCGATTGTCTTAAATGACAAACAAATGCCTCAAATAACAAGCGTCGCATAGAATGATTACTACGTCACTGACTACAAATATCATTACTCAATTTTTTAGGTAAAAAATTTAAAGAAACTATAACGCATTTAATTTATTGGAAACAAAGTGCATGTCGTAGCATTCGGTACCGGAGAGTGTTACATATAATTAAATTAAAATCTTGTCTATTGTACTATTGAGTCGAGTTTAATTTCATATGAACAAACAAAACCATGTTTCTAAGTTTTTATTTTTTATTTTTTAGGGTTGGGTTTGGTTTGGTGGGGGGGGTGGGGGGGGGGTTCAAAAGCCTTAATGTTACGGAGAAAAGAGACGTGACTATACATGTATATACATAATCAAAGAGGGTTGCTGGATATTCGATGCCTCACTCTGTCACTCACGACCCTTCCTTTTGTTAAAAGTCATTAAAAGTCCTAATGTGCC